GCACACACACACACACACACACACACACACACACACACACGCATGCATAAAGGAAAGAAATGTAGGAGCAGCTTAGAAGATGACCTGAGAGGACTCCTCAGAGAATTTGAATGTCAGCCTGACTGAAAAGCTATTTAGTGTTTCTCCTTAAAAGCATAATAATTGGGTTTGTGTTCAGTTGCAGTAATAGAAACCACTGAATGAAAGTAAGTTAAAAACTGTTCTTCCTTGCACATGTTACTTCTCTGCACCACTTTCTCTGAAATATAATTCACAGGGACATTGTATTGATTAAATCCATTGGTGTTTATCCAGATCTTAGAATTGTATTTCACATTCAGCTTTAGTCCCTTGGCTAGAATACAGTCTTATGGACAGGCTGCATAGATAGTCTATATTCCACTGATAGTGCTGGCTAAGTGTCTATTACTGTGGAAGACAAACTGGCCAGTGTGTGAACAAAGAAGAAAAACAAAGGTAGTTAATTGAGAATCACTATTGCCTCCATTTTGGCAGAGACTTAAGGCCTGAAGAAGACTAACAGCATTGCAGGGGGAAAGGAGGTTAGGAGTTAGTGATGGAGTTAGTTCCCCTGGGTTGAAGCTCTTAGCATAGGCCTGGCTGTAGGTGAACTTGAAGTTTTGGTTTCCTGGCAGGTTGCCACAGGTTGTTTCAAGTTCTGCTTTTGTGAGGGGTCTCGGTATTGTCAGCTTGTGCATCCAGTCTTTGGACTGGTAGATTCTGGTAAACCACTAATAATCTGTTGCTAGTTATTGTAAGGTGAGCGCTGAACATGTTCTTTTAATTCTCACCAGGATCCCTGGAAGTAAATGTAACACTTTCAGAGCAAAAGTACCATTGCTAGTAAATAGCAGACCTGGTACTTTTGCAACTAGGTCTCTTTGGTACAGTAATCCACATGTTTTCCTTTAATGGCCCTTCAAGATTCCTGTATGGCAGGACTCTTTGATGATCAGGTCCAAGTACTTAACCATCCACTAAGAAAACAAAACAAAACAAAACAAAAAAACCAAAAAACAAAAAAGGTGTCACAACTCTCATTTCATGACTAGATTTTCTGATCAAGGTACTCAACAATTAAGAACTTAGCAGATGGTGGCGCACGCCTTTAACCCCCTCTCTCTCAAGGCAAGGCAGGTGGATCTCCGTGAGTTCGAGGCCATCCTGGTCTACAGAGAGTTCCAGAACAGGCTCCAAAGCTACACAGAGAAACCCTGTCTCAAACAAACAAACAAACAAACAAACAAACAAACAAAGAGCTTGGCTCCTGAGTGGGGCTACAGTGTAGACTCCTGTAACTGGTGTCACTCAGGTTCTTACAGTACACTTACCTGTAAGATGAACACATTTGACTTGAGTTTTCTAATTGTAACAGCACTGTATAAAATGAAGTAGAAAGGGCGGGGAAGTGAGTACTTGCCTAGCCCATTCAATTCCCAGCACAGGAAGTAGAAAAAAGGTAATGTTATTACCTTATGGGAGCTGGCTAAGCACTTCATTTAAAGTGAGTCACTTCCAACCAGTTATCTGATTTTCTGTTTCAGGGACTTCCCACCACTTACTCAAGCTGCCAACTGCCAAAGTATTTCTTTGCAAGTTAAAGAGTAATAAAACTTTATAGTCATCACTTTAAAAAGAAATTAGGGTGTATGTGTTCTATGTCCACCTCCAGTGGACCCCCTAGCCTTCCAACTCTTTGAGCATACAAAAGAAAGCTGTCTTTACGAATGACTGTAACTTACAGAAAACTATTTGAACCTTATATGCGAGGTTTCTTTTTTCTTCTTCTTTTTTTAAATGACTTACATGGTGGTGCTGTGGGAAAGAGGGTAAATGTTTGTCTCTAAGTTAGCTCCCGAACATCAGAATTCTATGAGGAATGAGTAGTACTCCTACAGACAGACAGGTCCACCCTTGCTGTAGTACTGAGGTTTCTGACTAAAGTTTGCAGATGTGTATGATGTAGCAGACTGTTTACAGGGAGGGGGGGCATTGTTAGCGGGTATCAGGCAATTCCTTGTAAAGTTGCAAGCATGGAAACTGAATGTACTTTGGTATGGTAGTATGTAGGCTTTTGGACGTTACTTGCTTTCTTGTAGCTTCTGGCAGTGTTTGTCTAGTCTAGGGATAAGGCCTGCTGAGGTGAGGGTTCCAGATCCTTTAGATCTCTAGAACTAAAACATGAAAGTCATATTGTCAAACTGGCGGATTGTTGGCATAACAGCTGTAGTAAATTTTGAATCACTAGTCATTTCCCAGTTGATCACTTTGGATCCTGGGTATAGGTGTGTGTGTGTGTGTGTGTGTGTGTGTGTGTGTGTGTGTGTGTGTGTGTGTTTTAAGCAGCATCTTATTTCAGACTTGACCAAATCAATATGTTGTATTCAGAGGAATAATGTAATACACAAGTAGAATTTTATTATGAATCAACACAATTCATTACACATAGTTATGTGTTTTTCCCCCTCTATGTGATTTAAGCTTTGTGCTTATCTCCTGTCTTAAATACAAAAGGCCTTCTTTTCTTTGATTTGTTTTCTCTGGTTTGCATTCATTAACATTTTCCAGAGGTAACTACCAACTTTATGTGCATCAAATGTGGGCCATTTTGTTTTCTGTCTGGACACAGATTTAATTCAAAGATAGATGTATGACACTATGTGTATATGCTTTCTCGGGCATATCACAATTTAAGTGTTAGACTTTATTAAGCAGAGAAAGCTCAAGTATGAAGCCTGGTCTAGCCTGCTGCATCTCCTGGTCTAGCCTGCTGCGCCCCTACACCTGTTTCCTATTTCTGTTGTGTAGATTCCTGTGATACTGCTGAGTAACAGAATCTGCATTTAAAATCATAGAGACAGCCCACTTACTCCCCCAAAGGGTTTAAACCATTTTATAGCTTTTTTTCCAAGGAAGAAAAAAAACTTCATATTTTTCTTGGTTATTAGCCCATATAAGGTATATGGCTTACACCTTCTTAGAACTCAGTATATACCACAGAAGACAGTTTTTAAACCAATATTCATAGAAAATTATGTAACTTCTGTTGCAATAACGTATATAAAGGAGATATGGGTTTCATCAGTACAGTTGTTGTGAGAATGGAAACATTTGATGGCACTAAAAGGCTTTGAGGCAATGGGTGCTAGATGACCTTGATTTACTTACTCTTAAGTGATTACCACAACTGCCATATCTATAAATTGGTTCATAATACCTGTCTCATAATGTTGTTATTATAAGGGTAATATCTCTCTCTCTCTTTCTCTCTCTCTCTCTCTCTCACACACACACACACACACACACATATGCAAACACATACACAATATGTATGTGTATGTTATATGTATACTTATTTTTAGAACTTAATAAATAAATGCACACACATTATCTGGACCAATCTGAATTTTTGATGTTCAATACATACTCCTATTTTCTTTAATCCCTTTCAGCTTCTGAGTGGTACTCTACCTGACCCACCCCGTAAATCATCCAAAGCCCTCCCTCTCATTTCAAAGTGACTGGAGTGCTCATGCATGAGTGATTATGCCTCCACTTCCCACGGGCCTGCCATGGTGACTTGTGTCTGGCTTTGTTTTACCTGTGCTCTCCTGTTGACATACTGTCACACAGGAGGGATTGTTGTACATCCCTCCACCTGGCTCTCCGTCCTTCCATTGCTTCCTCAGCTCAAATCTTATCATTCCTGGTTCTTTAGCTGTAATCATTCTGCACCTTCTGTGTGTCATCTTTTTTCATTTAAATATCTTCATTTCACTGTTCTTTTATGTGTCTACATATACATACAGGCAGACATACGCACATGTTCCTTGCTAATTCACTCATTCAAAAACTTTGTGTCGTGGTGGGGAAAGGCAGAGGAAATGACGAGCAAGTCTGTAGTTTGCCAGATGCTGGTTAGTATAGTGCAGAGAAACAAAGGCAGGCAATGGAAGGAGTTAGGAGGAAGGATGCTGCCATCCATTCATTTGAGAAGATATGAGAAGTCATATTGATTGGGTCTTACCAACCCCACCTCTGCCAGCTTTTTCCGTTCAGCCACTGTCAAGGCTCCATGAAAGAGCTCTGGGGTGACCTCTGTCAGAAATCCCAGTAGTCTCCAGTCCTCTGTCTTCTTGATCACTCATTAGCATTTCGATCTCCTTTTCAGTTACTTCTTAAAATAATCCTGTTGTCTCACCAAGTATTGACATGACTTCATTTCCTCCTAACCTCTTCTTGTGGAACCATTTTCTTATTCTTGATTTTTTGAGATCAGGTCTCATGTAGCCCAGGCTGGCCTCAAACTCACTAGGTAGCAGTCTGGTC